AGAAAATGCCTGTTACTATTTTATTTAACATATTGCCTTGATTTGTTTTACATAAAGTATATAATCCAATACAGTGACATGCGGTGAGGATTACGGTTGGTGAGGCAAGAGCGCAGCAGCGTCGAGAAGCAACGTCCCCGCCACTGTGTCCGACAGGCGTCTCGCGTTTATGTCCACCATAAACACGAGACGCCTGACGGACACAGCGGCGGGGGCGTTGCTTCCACTGCCATGCTTTGCCGCCTTGCCCCCGCCTCCTCCTCCCCGCCGCTGTGTCCGTCAGGCGTCTCGTGTTTATGGTGGACATAAACGCGAGACGCCTGTCGGACACAGTGGCGGGGGCGTTGCTTCTCGACGCTGCTGCGCTCTTGCCTCACCAACCGTAATCCTCACCGCATGTCACTGTATTGGATTATATACTTTATGTAAAACAAATCAAGGCAATATGTTAAATAAAATAGTAACAGGCATTTTCTATAAAAACATTCTTCTGGGAAATTAATATTCCTACGTATATTCAAAATGCAAATAGTAATAAACATGACTATAAAAATTATTACTTTTATAGTGTACTCTTTTAACATTTGGTTCTCATTAAAGAACTTCAGAATATTAAACTAGCAAGCAATCGTATTCTATTCTTGGAGATTGCCAAGACAAATCACTGCAATTTTCTTGGTAAAGTATTTCAGAAGTGGTTTGACCAGAAGTGGGTTGCTGCCGGTTCGGTTCGGATTGGCCGAACCGGTACTAGCGGTGGCAGGAGGCTCTGCCCACCTGCCTGGACGCTTTTGCGAAACTGGCAACCCACCTCTGGGTTTGACACTGTCCCTTTCCTAGGGCTAAGAAAAAGTAACTAGCCCAAGACCACCTAGCTGGCTTTGTACCCATGATGGAACTAGAATTCACAGAGAGTGAGTGTGTATCTATATACACATATATGAGAGGCAGCAACCCTCTTGTGAACTTTTGAAAAAGAGTTAAAACATGGCTCTTCAGCCCCATGCCCAGAGGGTTGGCACTCTGAGAACCCTCCCTTTACTTTTAAAACTAATTTTCAATCATTCTTGCCTGCTTTTAAATTTAAAAAAATCTAAATTCCTATATGCTGTTTTATATTTTAATATTTTATTATATACTGCCTCAAGAGATAGGCAATTCAAAAATGTGAATTACACAGTGTGCATACACATACATTTGTTGCATTCTCTGGTGTAACTATATTTGTTGTTACAAAAGAACATCACTAAAATTGTTATGTAACAAAGAAATTGAAACAGCAGCAAGATTGAGAGTTCTGATTTTTTTACATTTTTAAACCCTTCCAGTCATTATGTAGTATCATATAATATCTTACAACACAGAATGCCTGTGTTGGATCTTGGATTTCAATATTCAGCTAGCATCACCACTGGCAAGAAGTTTGTGGAAGCTGTAGTACAAGTATCTGGCAGGGACCCAAGTATTTGCTGTTGCCTTGGATACCACTCAGGGTTATTATGGTATAATGATTTCTACACTAGATCCCATTTTATCAGATATTAAGATTCCACTTTACAGGGGGATTAAATTTAGCATTCAAACCTACCATGAGTACTAAAAATATCTAATTATTCAGTTTCATAAGAAATATCATTGCTTCTATATTCATGCTACACCTGTTTTATGTATAGTACTACCTTATCTACAAGATCTAAAAACACTTTTGACAGAATGAAAGATGATTTAATAAAGCTGAAGGTTATCCTCTAATCTAAGCCACTGGATACAATTAAAGAAAAGCAATAATGTACATAGATATGCCTAAATTACATTAAAAAGGTATTCCCTTGGTGTATTTTCCTCCTCCCTCCCTAAACTGTCATACTGTTTACAAATAAAATATTTTAACCAAATAGGCAATATATATGTACAATATTCACAAAGAACAATTTTCTAGTTTGACAAAATGCACTATAACTCAACAAGTTGAATTCACTAGGCTACAATGCAACTGGCCTAATTTGCGACTCAGTGTCTGGTTCCACTAACAAAGTCAATATACCCTTATAAATGTCACAGAGCCCTCAGTCCCTGAGTTTCCCCACTGCTCGGTTGAAACACTCTAGTATTTATTTATTCATCCTTGAACTGGCAAACGGGTACACATAAGCTTAAAATGTATTGTTTCCCTTCATCCTATTCTGGCTGAATTCCAAAACGATGAAATGCAAAACAGATTTCAAATTCCTTGGGTCTATGCTTAGGGTGTGTGAAAACAAGCCTACAAACATTACTTTAGCACTTAGGGCTGGAACAAGATAAAGACATCTGGGGACCTGACAAGAAAAACGATGTGGCCAGGCAAGTTTGTTCTTCCTGACAGTTAGAACAATTAATCAGTGGAACGACTTGCCTCCAGAAGTTGTGAATGCTCCAACACTGGAAGTTTTAAAGAAGAGATTGGATAACCATTTGTCTGAAATGATATGGGGCTTCCTGCCTGAACAGGGGGGTTGGACTAGAAGACTAGTCTACTGAGCCGAGGTGGCACAGTGGTTAAATGCAGCACTGCAGGCTACTTCAGCTGACTGCAGTTCTGCTGTTCAAATCTCACCGGCTCAGGGTTGACTCAGCCTCCCATCCTTCGGAGGTGGGTAAAATGAGGACCCGGATTGTTGTTGGGGGCAATATGCTGACTCTGTAAACCGCTTAGAGAGGGCTGAAAGCCCTATGAAGCGGTATCTGCTATTGCTATTGCCTTCCAAGGTCCCTTCCAGCTGTTGTTATTCTGTATTCTGAGATAGGTAAGAAACCAGAGGATGGCCTGTGGAGACTCTTCCTGGGCATGTTGGCAATCGTAACACACTGCGAGAAGGGTTGTGAGGGACGTGAAAGGGGGGGGGGGGCTATTACATTCCTCGTAATCTGCCCCCGCCTGCCTGTCATTTATTTATTTTTAGCTATGGAAATACAACGCGGGCCAGGATGAGCTTTTCGACCGACCGGTCCGCTTCTTTTGTAGCCAGAAGCGCGGTCGGCGGAGAAGCAAGACCCATGAGCCACTGTTTACAAACTGGAAGGCATCGAACCTCCCCACCCCCGCGACTGGAAGGAAGAAAACGCGACGGCTTCTTCCACGCCATTTTGTGTCGTCTTTAGAAATAGGACTTCGGTCCTCCTTTCTCGCTCGGTACCGCAAAGGGGGGGGGGGATGTTAAACTCGAACCCTCCGCCTCGCCGGCCAAATAGCACTCCAATCAACAAGCGGAACGTGAGTGAGGGACAAGCGCAAGGTCCAATCACCGCTGCCGGCGCCTCTCCGAGAAAAAAGGCACCGACACCGGGGGCTCGGCGATCCGCGAGTCCTACTACGTCATTGAGAAGAGAACCCGGTTCTGTCAAAGCCCGAAGCTCTCCTTGGAGTTGCCGGAGCATCCATCGCGGCCGGTGGTGCCTCCCCCTGCAGGACTCACCGTAACTTTGATCCATGGCTTCGCTTGCCGTCCTTCTCCCCACTACGAACAATTACCCACCACCACCCGACTGCGCGAGCGCCATATGCCGCCACAGATTGGCTTCTGCCGCTATTCCCGGAGTTCGATTGGCTGGGGCTTTAAACTTAACAGTGTTTGTTGCTCCCGCCTCCCCGTATGAAGGTCGCTCCCATTGGGTCGTTCGTTCGCTTACCCGTCGCTGGACATCTACGTTCTACACCTTCCGATGCCCGGAGAATTTTCCTATTTGCGGCTAAAACGGCTTGTGCAGCTCCAGATTTCCGGTTCCCATTTCTGTCGATATCTTCCAATAGGAGAGGAGGGCGGTGCGCATAAGCATTCAGAGGACTGACAGTAAACGAGGCAGGGCGGACTAAGGTTCGCTTTTATTACTTGCGAATAATTGAGGACGCCGCTAGAAGATAAATTTAACGGCTCTAGCTTTCTTGTCTGGAGACAACCTCGAGGGCTTTAGAGTCTCGTCTTTTGCTTTTGCGGGGCGGAGGGCAGGCTGACATTTCTCTGGTTGAAGTCCACGTGCCTTTTTGTATTGCTGGGAGTTTGGACCAATGAGCTCTTACAAAAGGGCTTCCGTTATTTTGCCCGTTCGTACTTTGCCTTTCTCTAATCCTTTCCTGGTTTGGTGGGTCCAATTTGAAATGAGGTTTGTCATCTTTCTTATTTTCGTCTCTGTTCACGCGCTGGCCCGGTAAACTACTGCACTATACTTGAAAGGAGTTCCGCGACCGTGTTCTTTGCAATGAAGTTTATGGTGCAGGAAATAGGCTGAGGAAACGTCAGGCAAGCCCAGACTTTTTCTAAATAATTTTCTATGTAGCTCAACTGTTTGACAACCCACCCACCGCTCTCATGTAGAAGTGTGCTGCAGTAGGAAATGGATGCAGGTGCTAATTTTTTAACTACTTTCTGCCCGTTTCTAGCCCCACTTACATGGCTAGGGATGCCTTTTATTAACGCGCTTATTCATCGAAGATGCCTTATACTGCCTAGGACTATTGGTCAATCCTCCTATAGTTTTGTTCAAACTGACTGGCAATGGCTCTCCAAGATTCCAGGCAAGAAATTCTCATGGGAGACATCAATCTTTATAAAAATACATATGCAGTATCTTAACAGTACAGAATTCCAAAACAGTCTTGTCTCCATCTGTCACTAAAAATAGTTTATCAACTGCTGTTGTAGCTAGTGATTTAACATCTTAAAGGATTGTCACAGACAATATTGGTATAAAATATAATAAATCTTGTTGGATAGGCTCTAAGGATTGGGAGGCACCATTCTGTTGGTCTTTCTCTGTGGCCAATGCTAGTTATGTGGGAGTGCCTTAAGACATATCTTTCTCCCCTCCTATTTAACATCTCAATGGAACTGTTGGGACATCTGTGGTAGGTTTACTAAGCTGATAATACCCATTTATCTATTCCATGCCAGGTAAAGTGATGCTGTTCAAGTGCTGTAAAAGGCTTGGATGAGGAGAAACTGGTTATGATTCAAATTGAGCAAGATGGAGTGTTTGTGTTTCTTCTCAGGGTGAAGAGAGTTGACCCTGATTCTGAATGGGGCAACATGACCTGGTATGCAATTTGGGAGTCCTCCTGGACTCTTGGTTCCTGCTGGAACAGCAGGTGGCAGCTGTGGCCAGGAAGGCTTTGCATAAATTCCTCTTGTGAACCAGTGCCCATTCCTGATCCAGAGGGCCTTGCTCATGATCACTTACAACAAAGGTTTAATAGTCTGGGAAGCCTCCCCTCCCCAGAATAAAATATTCTATAGATTAAAAGAGGCAGAATAGAATATTTCCCCTGAAAGAGGAGAAACATCTCCTAACAAAGGGAGATAATAGACCCAGTCTCTCTGCTACAGGAAAACAGCTTCCAGCACAAGCCTGAAGAGGCTAGGCATTATGAATGGGTATTTTATATCCATTCATAAAGCCAGGCAATTTTATTCATAAACAAAGGGCAGTCCACAACTCCAAATAAGCAGCACAATAGGCAAGGAGCCGAAACTGACAAGATTATCTCAGACAAACAAAACACCTAGGATTTGCTTTTCCCCTTTTGAATGTAGAGCCAGTCATGACCCCATAGGAATCTGGCAACAGCCATTAAATATTAAAGGACATATTCTTGCACAGGAACAGGCATCTCAATCACAAAGCCCCCCAAACTGTATAAAAGCCCATCTACTCTCAATCCCAATTTGTTAGCCACCCAGAAACATGCTGTTGTCACGGTTGTTTCTGGCTACCTCCTTTCTAAATGCAGCCTGATTCATTTCTCCTGCACTTTTCTCCCAGCTTGGAATAAGAACGGGACCAGATTTTATTTCCAATAATAGCTCTGAAGGAGTACTACATTGGTATTTGTTTCTAAATAAAACAAAAAAATTACATGAAAGAATAACAGTTCTATCTTGCATTTATGATCAGTTTAAACAAGAGTTTGTTGCTAATGTTAGTTGTATCACCAATGAATGTATTACAGATTTTCCACTGCTTCTAACAAAAGATTTTGTGTCAGTTTTAATTATTTGTATTATTTATGTGCGTGGTTACATTGCCTATTCAATGGACTACCTCCAGATGCTGTCAGCCACATCCATTCACTGCTAGCCCTGTCATTTCTCTGCAGCACTGGTTGAGGACAGAGCTCAATCCAGCTTTATTCTGACAATCCTATGTGACTGCAATGTTATCTGCCAGGTTATTTGGGGACACAAGTGTAGTGTTTATAGAAGAGTATTACAGTTCTGATCAAAAATATCCTCACTGAAAGGAAACAGGAACAGAACAGCTCGATATGTGCAGTTTATTAGTCAAACTTGGTATCTACAATTAATCAGGCATCCCAAGCACCTACATCCATTTGTCAATCATTAATGAAATTGGTGGTTCTAATAAAGGACAATATTTGTAGCTCAGAGTTGACAAGGTATCCTTGGTGCTCTCTGAACTTGTTTTCTTGCAGAGGTTTCATTATACAAGCTAGGTAACATCACCAGTGCTACTGTAGTAAGGAGTGTGGTTTGCTGTCAGTTTATATTCTAGTACCTTGCCCTGTAAATGTTGGTGGGGGATGATCTTAGAGATTTTTTGATTGAACTGTTTGCTGTTGGCTTTTTTGGCAGTTTCTTGATTGGGGTATTGCTTACTTGATTGTTGATCTGATGTTAATCTTGAAGTTAATGTATGCTGATCTGGCTGCTGATTACTGGTGGAGAGGTGCTTGGTAATTTTGTTCCCTTTTTGGCTGGTTGATTGTTTCCAAGGGATTTCTAGAAGCCCGGCACTCTGACAAATCAACCACCACTAGACACATATAACATCTATAGACTATGCAAAAGAGACTATCACCCAGCCAAAAAAGGAGGTTACAGCAAACTGCACTCCTTACTAGCACTGATGATGTTACCTAATTTGGATAATGAAACCTCTACAAAGAAACAAGCAAGGTCAGAGAGCACCAAGGACATCTCAAATTGGTGGTTATTTTCCCACTAAGGTGACATTAAGTGGGAGGGAAAATAAAGCCAGAAGAAGCTACCAAATATTTTTCTTAACTTGTCCTACATTAAGGCAATAAGGATAGTACTTGCCAAGTTAATTATTGAAGTAGAATAGAAATTGATGACAAGGGGAGGACAAATTGTTAGCAATAAAGGAACTTCTTGTACTCTTAAAGCTAAAACCTGTAATAATAATACAAATGCTAATAGACTGAAGGAAAACACTTCATGGCTGTCTGAATGAGCTCTTTTTAAATAATGAAATCTGAGCAGGTGGTTCTATAAATCTTTGCCATTTGAAAAGCAAAGCAGGATTAACCCTGGTTAATATTTGAATGGAAGAATGTCTGACTCTAGGACTCACTAGACGGAGAAGGAATAAAAACATCTTAGAAGGTGGAAGTATCAAATCACTTCCATAATGCTGCCAAGAAAACTGCTGAAATGCAATCACTAGGAGTTGATTTAAAAATGTCTATACAGAGAGAATATTGTTGTTCATGAAAAATACAATTTTAAAAACAATCGATGTGCAAATTTAGTATTTCATGCAGGAACACAGTCAATAACATTCAAGCAGAAGAGAAACTTGTGCTGCAGCAGTGACAGAAGATGAGATGCAATTTTTCTGCTATGTAACTCTTTATAATGTAAGAATATTTATATTGTTTATAAAGAAAGGCATTGATCCTGGCATTCTTCTCCTATGCAGAGATAGAAATTATAGTATGCGTTATATGGAAGTAGAGTAAAGAGAGTACGTTTATATAATGAATAATTTTTAAACAATTGGAACTAGAGACAAAAACAATCTCTTGGTTAGCTGGCCTAGGAGAATACCAGAGCTTCTGGAGAATTGCTGCTCCAACAATCAGATATGCCACTATAAACTCTTTCTTATGCCTATCGATCTATTCCTACAAAAGTAGAACAAGTCTTTCTCCTCACTCTGTAATATGTCTTGCTGCTCTACCATACATTTTGTTGTCCTTTTTAAGTTTTTTTGGACCAATTCCAGAGATACAACCTTTTTAACCTCTTTTCTCAAAATATTTAATCCATCAATTCCTCAATTCCTACAATTATCAGTCAGACTCAATTAAAACAACATAGGCAAAGTAATTTTAACATTAACTTTATAATATTGCAAAAGAATGCACCCATTCTTTTGCAAATACCATTCTGTTTGTGGATGAAATATCCACAAGCAGAATGGTATTTTTAAAATCACTTGCCTTGCCTTTTAATAACGAAAAGCATATATTTGATTAAATCCACAAAGCTTATTATGTCAATCACTGATTTTTTTTCCAGTTTTCTTGGAAGATAAAATTTTAAAGCCTTTTTCTAAGCCTCTTAAGTCATAGGAAAACACTTCCTGAGATACAAAAAATGTATGAAACTTGAGCTATTTGTTCAGTGACAGCTAATTACAATATATTCTGTAATTCATAGGAAAAGGGAATTACAAATATTTTTCTATTTATTACAGTTTTTTTTCATTCAGAATCTAATAGTTGGAGAACATCAACACTTTACACCAATATGAATTGAAATTCTTATATGAATATGAAAAGTGCATAAAAGACAATTATTTTACCATTTCAGTTATAATCAGCAAGCAAAATAATCTGGTTATTGTAATATCTTCTTTGAAGTTAAGAAAACCATGGACAAATAAAATCAGATATTAAATTTATAAAGTTGGGCTATTGATTGTTTTCTTCCACCTTTCAGACTTCATATGCCCTCAAATTTTGTTAAGAAATATTTCTAACTATCTGGAAAAATTAGGTAAAGAAGTGAGATTTTAGGGGGGCAGGTTACATTGATCTTCCATGTGCTCCAGCAGAAGAAATTTTGCTGGAAAAATGGAAGTTTCCTTTAGATTCCAGGAATGTGGAAACTGTAACTCCAGAGGCTAGAATAGGGCAGACTATTTCTTTGATTCTATCAACAATACCAGGTATGCAACAATACATACATATAACAGCTCAATAATTTCTTAACTTTGAGTACAACGGTTTTGAAATGTGCTTTTGTATTCTCCAGATTGCAATTTAGAAAATAGAGTTTTAATCTAATAATGGTTCCACAAAACAATTATAGATAGCTTAAATAGCTACTCCTACATGAAAGAAAAAAGGCTTAACTCAAAATGCAATGTGGAAACCCATGGCCTGACCCATGGCCAGATCCAATGCATATATATTTAGAAAATATATATTTAATTGAATAGACATAGTTCAGTCAATTGCAATCATCTGCCTATGTAATTTGAAATAAAACCACTAATTACAGTAGCATTTTCTTTCAAGTATACAGATTCAAATTTTCAAAAGGCAGAAAAACTGAGTTATCACCATATGTTATTATGTACCTGGAGTATCAAAGCATCATTTGCAGATGAGGCTCTACAAAATAATTGGTTAATTCCCAACCTCATTAATTCTATTCAAGGCTGCTTCCCATCCAGTAGTACCTTATTTCAAACAGAAGGGGATTCCTCTCCAAGATTTATGTCCCAGCTGGAGTATATTGGAAGGGGGGAGAGAGGAGAAGGAGAGAACAGGGTCAAAGGAAGAACGTATCAGATACTGGGAAAAAGTTAGCATCCTTCATCAGTGCAAACTGCCCTGTACAAATATCACAATCCAGAGAGAGAAACTGGAAAGCCAGTATGGTGCAGCAGTGAAGGTGCTGAATGAAAAACCAAGAAGACTTAGAGTTCCAGTCCTATTAGGCATGAAAAGAGGCTGGGTGAATCACTCTCTCTCTCAGAACAATCCACCTCACAGCGTGGTTGTTGTGAGGAAAACAGGAGGCAGGAGAATTATTTTCCCCCTTGGGTTATATATTAAAAAGGCGGGATAAAAATATAATAATAAAAAGAACACCCCTGGTTTTAAAGTTATATGAAAATATAGATTTGTTTTATGTTTATCTCAATACATAGTAAGGCTGAATCCCAAGTATAAGTACTCAGACTATGAGTAAATTTGCCTTCAAATTGACTAATAGTCCAAGAAATAATGAATTTGAGTTATTCTAAGGTAATGGTAAGTACTATTCATTTGGAATTAACATGTGGCTTGATAAACATTCATTTTTCTGATTTAAAGAAAATTATCATAGCAACTAATACCATTTTGCAAAAACATACCACTGGCATGTATGTGGACCCAAATGTTGAAAGAAGATGGAATATTTTACTCAAGTGCTATATTAGCAACCTCTGTCTCTGTCAGTTATTTCCAGAAAGCGAATACCTCAACACTGTTTTGTAAACTTCTCATTCTTTGTTCAGCCCACTAATACCTTTTAAGATGCCAACCCATATGTATAAATACAAGTTTATACTGGAATTTTAGTACTCCCAACATTCATAAAATTTATTATTATCTACAACTTGATTGAGTACAAGACAAAGCTACCAGTATGAACGCTTGAGTCATTATACATTAAAAATAAGCAATACATTCAAACTTTGCTAAATGCTTTTTACTCACAAACATATTTTTACATGTTTCTCCACCAGTTATTTGGTGCTTGAGTCTTAAGGAAGAAGAAGTATTATATGGCTGAAAGGTCTCCACCCAGTGTGTAATGATTCCTTCACTCACCCTTGTCTTTGCTAATGTAGCAGGTTTCCAGGAAAATATGTCCATTGAATATTTTCAGGTTCCATTGCTTGATCTCCACTACAGGAAAAGGCATGTACATAAAGAGAAATGAGAGGATAATAAATTGAGCATGAACAAGAATATCAGTATCTGTACCACTATTGCTTGGAAAGCAATTGGGGTAGCAGCAAGAGTTGAAATAAACTTATGGCATTAATGCCTGCAATTCTTAATAAACAAAGGAACAATGAAGCAATACTATAGTCTTGACAAATGCAGTAGAGATGATTTGGAGGATTTAAAATGAAACAACTTGAAGACCTGCTTTGAAGGGAATATTTAATGTTTTGTAACACTTTTCATCAGTAGATTTTTGTTGGGCTGCTACAGACTTCATTTTCAGAACATCCATCTAAAATAAGCAGAAACTAAGAAACCCTCCTGATCTCAAACAGAATAATATAAATTGCATTTTTGGAAAGTGCCAGAATGCATTTATTTCTCTTTGAGGCTTTCTGCACAATAACAAGCTTGCTGCTTCTGTCAAAAACTTACACATATAACCCTAATAGTGTTTTATAATCAACTATTGCAAATGTTCCCTCTTAAATAAAAGCACTGCAAAATTATTGTGCTGACCAAAGTCTTTTTTGAATATTTAAAAGTAAAAAGATAGAAGAATGCTACACTTGCATGGAAGATATTCCAATCATGCAGAATTTAAAACCCAGAATTCTGCTACTGACATTTTCAGACAAGACTAGCTATGGAACTAAAACATTTTCAACTATATACAAAAGTAAACAGGAAAATTTAGAGGTTATTTATCCTTCCAAGGTTTAGTATGGTATAAGCCAATTGACAAAATTTGATTTTGATTATTTACTAAAAAAAGTATATTTCCTAGTACAAAGCCACTTAAAAATTGTACTGCACAAAATCTAGCTAATACAATGAAAATTTGGTTAAAAAAAGCTATTTTCAAAAACACCTTACAAATAAAGGCTGTTAACCAGGTGAAAGTGAGGTCAATGAAAACCAAAAGCCACGTGCCATGGTGTGTCACAAATACAGGTATGGTTTTAGAAGATTTAATGCAGAGTCTCAAAATGATTCAACCTTCTTTGCAAGTTCACTCATCAGGTGGTTCCATCTTCTCTGAAGGTACAATGTCTTGTTTCTCTTGTGTTTCTTCTTTTTCTTCTTCAGGTTCTGTATTCTGTTCGGTAGCAACACCTTGAGATGTGGTCAAATTCCATTCCTCCATTTGTCCTTGTAGTTCTTCTCCTTCACCTTTGCTTTCTGCACTTTCGTCAGCCACTGGATTTTCCTCAGGATTATCATCACTTTTACTTTGCTCTTCATTTAGGTTTCCTTCACTTTCAGCTGCTGTTTCCTCAATGATCCCACTTGTTCCTGCCTCACTTTCTTCATGTTCCTCTTTCTCTTCAGGATCATCTGTGAAGGGATTCTCACCCTATAAAATATAACACTGTATTGAGTTTTTGACATTTTAATCAGAAATTATCAATGCTCAGAATTATAAAAATATATCCCTTATACTTAATATATAATCAGGGTAGTAATTTTTATTAATGCAATGGAAATGACACTTGAAATTAATCAAATGTCATAATTCCACTAAATAGCCAATAGAACACCTATTCTGTTTTAATACATCAATGAAGTTTGGATTGGATTGGAAGAAAGGAAAAGCTGGAACTCTTGAATATGTGCTGACATTTGCTAGCCATGCTGCTAACATCTTCAAAGCAGATCCGAAACTTAACTTGGGCAATAGATGGCACTAACTGCCATTTTTCTGGTATGAATTATTTGGATCCTTATACATTTCTATTGTTTCTCTAATCATTTTGATAATGTTGGCAGAATGCTGATACTCTCTAGATTTATTTTGTGAAATGGTTCTTGCGGATGTCTGAACATAAAAAACAATAATTGGATAAGGATGAAACTGAATAGATGTATTTTGAAAACCATGACATTCCAAAGCACATCTTGATAATGTCCTTCAGTAAAGTTAGTTTCCAAAAGGACAGAATGTGCTGTCCATTAATGAGCATCCCAAAGATGCTCGCAATGAATTGGGCACCAAATAAATTTAATAAATAAATAAAAATTAAGTAGCCAACACATTTCTTAGTTTTTATTCTTATGATGTGTCATTTTTTTTAAAAAAATCCATTCTCATAGGAAAATAAATATAATTGAGAAATTCCAAGTACATTTACAATTAAATGTCAATAATCCTTAAAACTGCAGCTAAAGTTGAGTATAATAACTAGCAGTAAAGGAACTTGTTGCACTCTTAAAGCTGAAACCTGTAATAATAAAAAAATGTAATCTAAGAAATAGAAGATTGAAAATCTGAACTCAAAAACAAAGAATTCGAATGCAAGAAGAGAAAATAAGCATGAACATAATACAAACTGAAAAAATATAGCGTATCTAAAAGTAGGTATCAGAAATATGTTTTCTAACCTTTAGATACCTCTCCAATTTTTTACTGATAAGTTTATTGTTAAGAATACTTCTTGCAACTACTAATGACGATTTCTTGGACTGTTCCATCATAGCCTAAAAAACAAAACCAACAACAAAAAGAAATCATGCACATCATTATTTACAACATGAATGTACATCTTTTTCATTTTAAAGTGACATTCACCTAATGTTAATCATTCACTTAAAGGAGGACATGGTAAGGGAAGAGGCATAGGTTCAGCTATAACAAACAGCAAGTAGCCTGAATATGTCAATCAATTAAGTTTCATAATTAGTCTTTTTTAATAAGTTACAATGATGACCAGAACAATGTGTCTGGACCACTCACATAAAGATTCTGTTAGCTTCAAGATAGAGAACTCAAAGAAAACAGTGAATTACAAGCAAAGATGTCTATATATTTTGTATAAGAACAAATGCACAAAATCAAAAGGGATCACAGAAATGAAAGTATAAGATGCCATTTGTAACTATTTATATAATATACTTTACTTGGAAGAGAAGAATCTTATTACACAAAAATAAAAAAAATAAAATACTAATTTATACTGAATTCAGTTATTTTGAAATGAAACAGGCTATTTCTTAATTTTATTTTGAAATGAATAGGCATTCATTATGAACAATTTATATTACTTAGTAATGAATCTGCAAAAATTTGGGCATTTACCTGGATTGGATTGGATTGGATTGGATTGTAGACTTAGATTTTAGACTTGAACTGGGCCTCAGTTAGGCTTTTTTTTGGGAGAATTTTTTTGGAGCTGGTTGATGACAGACAGATTGTGTTTGCTCTCTGGCTGTGGATACTGCATTGCAATGCCCACACCCATCCTGTGCCTATTCATGGTGGAGTTGCAAGGAGCTGCAGGCACTTGAATGCGAGAGTGAGCGTGATATTACATACGAGGTTGAAGTCAGCTGCAGTATTTTTGGAGGCCCGCTATGAGCATTAGAGTCTGGGACAGTGATCTAACTTTTGGGATACTTGGCAGTGTATGGAGCTAGCTGGAGCACATGGACCTGCTGTTGGTTGCCACTGTTGACCTGTATTGTATTTTCATTACTTTACTGCTGGCATCACTCATCACACAGGCCAGATGACTGCATGGGACTTTCCAGCTGAAGAGGCCATCCAGGACTCTTGGGCTTTATTGTATATCCCCCAGGGTTTCTTGTTTGTGAGATGGGCAGTTATATAAATTGTATGGATAGATGTATAGATGATAGATGATAGATAGATAGATAGATNGATAGATAGATAGATAGATAGATAGATAGATAGATAGATAGATAGATAGATAGATAATACTTACTCTACGGTTGTGGTTATGATCAAGAGATTTCAGATGTTTCTGGATGATTCCATATTGCATTGGGATGAAAAGGTCACAGGCAACACAGTGAGCAGCCTCCACCTTTTTTACAAAATGTTCCATACCTATATCTAAGTAAAATAAAATCCATTATATTTTACAGCCTGTAAGACAATATGCATTACCACATAAGAAGACATCTGTCTATCAAGGAACCTAGAAACATTGACTCTTCTATAAGATTCCAACAATATTATCAGATTAATTCAAAAAATAAATTTAGTAAATATTGATGGAACTGAATAATAACAAAAGATGAGAACATATCCATACAAATTAGAAAAAAGAGAGCGGGGATAGACCTTCATTTTTTTAGGGTACTTGTTACTTTTAAATAAAAATATTTTTTCTAAGAAACATCCCTATTCTGTATAATATCCTGAAATTGCTTGCAATAACATTATCACACATTCTTTCCCATGAAGTAGTTATGAAATTATGTGCACATGGAGACAGCTTTCAAAGCTGTTTATAAGTCTGGAAAAATTAATTCATTATTATACCAATTTCTATGTGTTCCTGTATATCGTGACTCAAGAGATCTTAGCCAGCAGAATATAGAATTTAGGACCATCATACAGAGAATAATGAAGCATTTGCTGATCAACACTCTATGGCATCTTTATAATAGTTATACAAAAAAGAAAAAAGAATATACATCATTTTATACCTGAATGTTAAGATACTTTCAGATCAAAAACATATACCTTGTGTAAGATCTTGGTCTTTGTAAATCTGTTGTATAACTGCATTAATATCTTCAATTGCTTTACGACGTTCTTCTGTCTTCTTTGTTTTGTTAGCTACATATTCCTGCATTGAAGAAAACTAAAGTTAATACTAAACCGAATGCTAGTAAAATTCAGAGTAAGCCTTCCAATCAAAATCCATTCTCAATTCCTCTCTCAATTTCTTCCAAACTACATTTTCATTTATTTCTAAGAATTAAAAAGAAAGAGCAAAGCAATCATGTTACTTTATGGTGAAAAATACAAGTAAACAATCATTTTCTGACATGTATAGTTAGTCCAGAGTTAATTACTGTAATTGGGACTGCAAACTCTCACTAAGCACTGTGGTTCTAATGAGAAAAAATGACTGTGCTGAAATATGATGACAGTTCTTATTGTACTTTCTAAGTGCCATATCATGTGATGTTTACTTGCAAATTCTTGCTAGTTTCTCTATTGATTTTGCTTATTGGAAGCCGGACACAAAAGCTGTACGTGTAATCATGTGACAATGGGATACTGCAACTGTTATATGCTGGTTGCCAAGTGCCTGGGTTAAGATCATGTAACGGCAAGTGTGTTATAAAGGCTGGAACTTTGAGAAATGGCCACAAATCTCTTAGTTCAATACCGTTATAACTTCAAATGGCCACTGAACAAGGGGTTGTTAAGCGAGGGCTACCACTCCTTGATATTTTTCACAGGAAATTATCACTAGTGCTTTTGGAAATATGAGTAGAAGGCAAATTTAAGGAGAGAAAACTCACTTGCAGGAAGTCAGCAGTCTGCTTGGGTAGCTTGGTTCCAACAAATGTAAAATGCTCTTTATGAAATTTGCTTTCCAAATGATTGGTCATCTCATCTTCATAGAAAGTGCGATACTTGCACAATGAACACACAAACTGAATTCTGTAAAGAAATAGCAAATAAAACAATTATTTATTTACTTTTTGGGGGCAGTATAATCATTGGGAACTTCTCTTGAATTTAGGAAGAGAAGCTGATATATTTTAGATAGATATCATCTTTTCCAGCACAGAAAGGATTTCCACATGTTGTGTTTCATAAAACCATTCTGAAGTATTATAATTTTACTCTCTGTAAATCATCTGTCCCTAAACATAACTTGGGAATTTCTGGGACTATCAGTACCCTAATCTTAAATCTGCTTATTTTCCTTCTGTATAATTGCTCAAAATTCCAGGAAAAAAAAACCTTCAGTGCAAGGCAGAATTATGAGAAATATTGTTTTTTTTCTCCTCTGTAACTTGTTTTTCTTTTACTGTTTTCTCTAATCCTAACTTAAAAATAAGATATCAAATCAGCTTTGCTTATGTTAACAGAGTTTAGATATATTGTTTTACAAATCAAAACATGTAAATATAATGAAATAATCAAATCTGAAAGGGAAAAGACCACCACACAAAAAAGGACAATCTAAATACTAGCAAAGAGCTCTGGTGGCACAGTGGTTAGAATGCAGTACTAACGGCTAACTAAACACAGAGTTCGATCATGATACAGCCCTTCATGGCATCGGACCTGGGTACCTGAGAGACCGCCTCCTGCCAATTACCTCCCAAAGACCGATCCGATCGCACAGACTAGACCTTCTCCGGATTCCATCTGCCAGCCAATGTCGGCTGGCGACCCCCCGGGGGAGAGCCTTCTCTGTTGCAGCTCCGTCCCTCTGGAACAAGCTCCCCGTTGAGATCCGGACCCTTACGACCTTCCAGGCCTTCCGTAAAGCGACTAAGTCCTGGCTGCTCTGGCAGGCCGGGGGGCTGTTGAAGTATCCAGCCCCACGGTAACTATGAATGTTGTGTGTATTTTAAACTGTTGTTTGTCTTATTTATTCCCTTCCCCTTTGTATTGTAAGCCGCCTGGAGTCCTCCGGGAGTGGGCGGCATACAAGATTAATAAACTATAACTATAACTAGTTCAAGGCTGACACAGCCTTCTATCCTTCTGAGGTCGGTAAAATGAGGACCCAGATTGTTGGGGGAAATATGCTGACAATTATAAACTGCCTAGAAAGTCTTGTAAAGCACTGCGGAGCAGTATATTAGTCTAAGTGCTATTGCTATCGAGTCAAGCCTTCCCAAAGAAACAGCTTACCTTTCTACCATACGATCACGGTAACGTTTTTTTTGCCTCTCTTGAGTTTTCTTCCCAGCTTGCAATTTGCGCTTAATTTGGCTGATTTCTTCTTGAATTGTCAGAGCACCTAAATATATACATACAAACATATATTTCTATACGCATACATATTGAAACAATATCTATTGCTTTAAATACCTAAATCAGTTGTTTATAACAACTTTAAAGAAGCATAGGAACATATTTACTCATGCAACCTTTGGAGTGATGTTCTTATTTGCTATTACAAATTAACACTAGGTGGGTTTAGAAACTATGAAACTAATTTATTTTGGTCAAAAAATGTTGCTAATAGATCTTACAACTTGTTCAGTAAAGATTGGTTAAAAGTGCTATGTTGTTCAATGTGCTATTCAGGAGTTAGGCATTACCTTACAGGGAATAGGCTTCTTCTACCACCATGAAATTGTGGGCTAACATTCCCAGATGCCTTCAGACAATGTGATTTATATCAAGGATACAAAATGATTTCATTATTATATCTATAACCTCAGTTTTGAAACGTAGTAAGGCATCAAGAAATAGAATTTCTGAGTGGGAGGTGGCCAAGAGTTATTAACACAGAAAATATGAATTTACAACTGATTGCAACAGTAAATTACCAATAATGTACTTATTTCCAAACTTTTTAATTTTATATCATATATGGTCAAATGACTCCACTTGTAAATTCGATATAATTTGTTAATACTAAACACTGAAAAATGAATTTAGTATTGTATTTTTTCTTTGTTCATTGTTGTGCTATCACCATTAGTTTTTATTTGATAAAGAAAAAAGATGACTATTAATGATTCAATGACCCTTTAAAAGGGGCAACTGAATCATTACATACACCCTTGCTACAAATGTTAGAATAAACATAACTGATAAACTGATTTTATTTCTGCTTTAATGTTTTATGCTGCCCAGAGTTGTTGGATACGAGATGGGTGGCAAATAAATTTTCTAAACAAACAATGGTATTGCACAAAAAGTAATAGTTTTCCTAATAGCTTTAAGTGGAAAACTGAATTATAGTATAAACTAATCTTGGATTTTATCCCACATACAAGCTGTACACAGAAAGGTCTTCTCCATCTATTGACCTTTAGATCAGGGTCCTCAACCCCCAGGATACAGTCCACTACCAGGCCATGAGCTCTTCAGAACCAGACTGCCCAAAGCACAAATGGAGCTGTGCATGTACACATTCACTTGCCCATCACTCTTGCAGAACCATCCCCCGTCATCAGCCTGCAAAGTCGGAAAGGTTGGAGAACTCTGCTCTAGAAATGTGGAACTACTGTTTCCATGCAATTACAGAAGTAGTAAAACACATGTCGATTGCACCATGTTGGGAAACATTAAATAAATCTGAAGACTACACAATTTCCCTGAGGGATTTGCTGATTACATATAGCGTGAATCTATTCTAGTTGGCATTTCTGTGATCAATATATATGTTTTGATAATTTATTTCCATACTACTTAAATACAAATTCAGTGGATTATAATCCTAAAATATTTTAGCTAAAGAAAGATTCTGACCATACTAAAACTAACAAATAGAAACATCCAAGCTTGTGCAACGAATCAATGAATTGAATTGAAAGAAAAATAAAACAATATTGAGGGATAAAAGTAAGCGGAAGACAAATTAAATAACAAACTGAAATCCCTACTTGAGATTTCCAATAGGAAATTTACCAGCAAACTAGAAAGAAACTATGCTGCTTGGAGACAGGCGATGGCTCATTTTAACAAGCTGGATCAGAATTATAAAGATGAAAGGAATGCAAGGCATTCATAAGCAGGAGACAATTTAGGCTTCTAATATTCTTCTCATGAAACAAGTTCTCTGTGTAAACTATCTTCTTTACAGGCAGCAGTACACTAAAAGTAATCATTTGACTTAGGTGGAAAGCTCCTCAGAATGCTAGTCAAGGAATCTGGAATCTGATACCTTCTGCTCAAAACAGACTAATCTATTCCACATCTTCACATATAGTTTGACAACAGTAACTATTATTATTAAAAACAAGCCTATCCAATTATACCATTATTATTCTCATGACACATTATTTATAATAAGAATAAATATTATTAATTTGGCTAATTAAAAGAACTTAACCTAACTAAAGAGCATTAACTGAATAAAGTGTTATTGGCCTTTAAAGGTATTTTCCCCCTCTGACACTTGTAAAACAAGGTTTGGAGCCTAATTAGTTTATTAATTAATTATTAATCTATTGCTGAGATTGCAATGATCTGGAGAATCAAAAGTTCAAAATAGTATATTTCCATTAAGAAAGAATAACATTTCTTCTAAAGAAATGTTAAGAGTTACCATTTTCCATTAAATTTTGTAAGACTACTAATTTACCAGCAAGCATTTTGATCATGATGAATTTACATAACAACTACTAAGACAACAATTTAGTTTTCTTAAGATTATGGCCTAACCTGTAAATAAACTTGACATTAAAGATGAATGAAATACTTCCATTTGTAATAAAACAGGTATTAATTAATTAATTTTTACAATCCTTGCTAAGAACACACAAATCTACCCATGCTTATACTTGCCTTTCTCCGATTCTTCTTTTCTTTCTTCATCTTCAGCACCATCCCCCTCTCCCTCCTGAAATTATAATTAAGAACAATGAAGAATGGGGCTTACAGTCAAGGTCACAACAGATGAAGTAATCAGAAGTACTATTGGCTATCAAGATGATTTAGAATGAGAGAAAAAGTGCTATAAGGCTAATTAATATAATAAAATACATTTGTATAATTAATATTAACAATAATTAATACTTTCTTCTTTGCAATGAACCCTCAGAAATATATAATGTTCAAAATTCTATACAATCCTTATAATTTCAAGTTTTAGGAAATTATAATTATTCTGAGATAATGATTATTTAAAATAAAAGCAGTTAGTCTTAGAATTAGAATTAGCTCTGAATTTGGAGAGGAATAAACTTAGTATATGCATGCAATCTAACTGTCTGATTTTAAATCTATTCAGTTTCAGATAAAACAATCACTATGTTAAGGAACCCCTTAAGATACTGTATATGCAACCTTAAGTATATGATGGGAAAATGGAAGTATGCCAAGTGCTCCTTCCCTATTGATGTTCACCACCCAACTCTAGCTCTGACAGAAATCTATGTCAATAGTAGCCCAGAGTTTTGTACACAATGTAATACAATGATATCGTAAATCTGTAAACAGAACTACACAAATAAGACGCATGTGAATTGGTTATATACAACAATGATATCCAATGTATGAACATCAGAGCGAAGAGCAGGGGCAGCTGAATTAATCACGATCATCTTTGCATCGAGCTAACCATACCTACCCTGGCCCCCCGAGGTCAAACACGATCCTGATGCGGCCCTCAATGGAATTGAGTTTGACACCCCTGCTCTAGGCTAATGCTTTCTATCAGTAAAATGCAGTCTATACTAATTCCCACGTAATAACAGCAAATATATGTATGAATATATAATGGCCCCTTCCCTATTACTCTATTTAACTATTCAGTTCTTCATCATGTGTTTTAATTTTAACTCACTAATAACAATGCTATCCTTCAATGTGGTTTCAGTTTTTTTGTTTCCTGAGTCATTAATTGAGGAATACTATTATTATGATGATATCTAATATAGCAGTACCACAAAATGAATACATAAAATGACAAAATCTATTTTACACTTTTCCTTCAAAACTACAAAGCAGAACTGCGCCACTGCTACATTTAAAGAGAACAAATCTTCACAACATAAGTTATTTTTATCAGATCAATCCAATTATACTACATGTGTTTACATGATCCAGCCACCCAATTTGATGCATTGCTCAAACTACTGAGTACCTCAGATTGCTGGTTTTCTGTAACCATGTATTTTAGTAATAGTGTGTTGTTTTGTTTTTGTCTTTTACAAAGCCCTTGACCAATTATTTATTCCATTTTTCTTCTTCAATGAGCCCTAGATTGCTTTGGCCAAAAAAAACAACAAATGGGGCAAAACTCAATAACTGCCTTGCTTAGCAATGGAAATTCTGGGCTCAATTGTGGCCTCACACCAAGGACTACTTATACTGCATAGAAAGATAAACAAAAGCTTTAAAAGTTGACATTATTGGTAATTGACATGTTTAGAAAACTGCAAAAACGAGTCAGAAAAGGTTGCCACCTCTGTTCAAGTCACCAACTCATTCCCTTTACATTTCTTTAATTAAGAAAAATATCAACACATTGCCCAGAATTCCTATTTAGCACAGCTCAGTAAAGTTCTGTGGGCATTACTTATGGGTGCCAGCAAGATTTTTAAAATGTAATAGTCACATTTCTAAATTATTTTTGGTAGCTGGATTTCATTATATAACTATTTTTTTCTTCAAAACTGCTCAATTTAATTGTATTAGATTAATTGTATTTCCAGTAAATCCTTATCCTATATCCCCGGAGATTTGTTGTTTTCACATTGTAGAGTTCAATGATTTACTTATTATCCCTATACTCAACCATTCATTTAATGACAGCTCAGAGTTACAAGGGTGCTGAAAAAAGTGACTTATGAATGGTTTTCACACTTATGATAATTACAACATTCCTCATGGTCACGAGATCAAAATTTAGGCAATGCCAACTGGCATTTACTTATGACTCTTGCACTGCCACAGATTCATGTGATCACCAACTATAACCTTCACAACCAGCTTCTGACAAGCAAAGTTAATGGTGGAAGCCATATTTGCTTAATGCATGATTCACCTAACAACTACAGAAATTCACTTAAGAACTTGTGGCAAAAAAGTCATAAAATGGGCAAAACTCTTCTTTGCGTAGCACTGGAAATTTTAAGCTCAATTTGTAACTATAGGACTCCCTGTACTGTGTGTGTGTGTGTGTGTGTGTGTGTGTGTGTGTGTGTGTGTGCAGGTATGCGTGTGTACACACACACACACACAAAAAAATCTTTTTTAAATTTATGCCCTTTGGAGCTCTTCTTATTTTTTCAGTTTTGGCATTCTTACTAGAACATTTCTGAAGTCCTGAGAAGGTTGTATATTGCAAATCCATTTGAAGGGAATTCAGATTAAAAATAGTGTTTTAGATACATACAATAAACTCAATTTCTCACCTTGTGTAATCTTCTTTTTGCAACTGATATCTTATTCACAGATTAGATGGAGTACAGAGCACCAATTATACATAGGCCCCTCAGCAACATATCCTGTAATAGCTCCACTCTACCACTCAACACTAACTTTATTATACACTTCTGCTTACCTCTACTATGAGTCTTAGTGTTTTAATTTTTCTAGCCATTTCATTTAATGTTTTGCTAGGTGTTTGCAACTGCAGTCTGACTCTTTGAATGCCCGGCAAGCTTCACTTATTTACTTGGTCCCAACATAGTTCACACACATGCTTTATTTTATCTATATTTAACTCATTAACATTATATGACCAGTCTGCATTTACAAATTATGGTTTATGAGAAAAATGACTTATAAGAACTGTTACATTAATTTCTCAAAGCAATTTGTTATATGATTTTATTCTAAAGGACTAAAGAATCCACAAAATTGCTTGTCAAAGCTATCATTCCACAGATTAGGTCTATAAAGGTTTAACCAATTATTTCTCTTTTGCAATCACTAGTTTAATAAATCTTCATAAAAGTGGAATTTGGGTTATAATCATGTTATATGTTATGTATTTCAGAAGCCTAACAAGATGTAGAAACCATCAAAGTAAATTTGATTGAATAAACTGGAAAAAAATCATAGTTATACCAGTTCTATCACTGTAAAATCTAGAGTATACTTTTGAACAACTGCTCCCTTAGAATCCCCATTTCATATACACCCTACTGTAAAGTAGATGTTTCCAGCTCAGGGATTAAAGTTCCTTGAGAGAGTTTTGTTCATTCCTTCAAAACTGCCCTAGCCTCTGCTCTTTGTTCTTTGTCCAACAAAAGAAGGAGCAATACATCGTTCATCATTACACAATGTTAGCTTGCCAAAGGATCCTTTTCAATCCTTGTCTCTATTATATCAAATGAGAATGATAATCTTTGTAGTAAGACTAAATTCAAACTCACATTTTTAGAACCCTTCTCAGCAGCTTCTCCTTCAGGCCCTTCTTCTAAAAAGAGCAGCATATCAGGTGACTATGCATAATACAAAATAGCTGAAACATTTAGTCAAAAATACTGGTTTTTATATTGTCACTCTAAGTATGCAATGAAAATAAAACAGGATTTCTCAGTCTAAGTAGACCTTAGAGGTAAGTTCTTACCATTATCAGAGTCTGAGTTATCTGAGTTATCTGTTTTTGCTGCTTTGCTATCAGGTTCATCAGAACTGTTAGCTTGTTTACGTTTATTACCAGTTGTCTCATTCTTTATTCTTTTCTTCTATGAAGAGAAACATAGGAGTATATTCAGCCTTAGTTAATAACTAATTATTTTCTTATTATCAATAAAAATGTATATTGAGACATACTTTTTATACTCAAATTACCTCAAACAGCTAAAAACATGCCCAGATTTAATTTGGTCTATTTCATACAAAGCTGAAAGAATTTTTCTCCAAGGACTTTTCTCCAAGATTATTGGTTCATATATGGGATGCAATGAGAGTATCCAGGAATAGGTTTTTTAAAAAAGCAAACATCTGAAACAAGGAACCTGTTTCCTATAATTAAAATAATAAATACATCACTTAACAGATACCTTTGCATTCTATTTATTTATTAAATTTATATGCCCCCCTCTCGCTATCCAATTAGCAACGATAAGCAATCAGTGCACCTTGCATTAACAGTGATGTTATATGTGCCACCCTAGAGGCCTCAGAAGTGTCTGCATCACTGCCTTCTGAAGCAATTGTAGCTTCCAAATACTCTTCAAGGATAGGCCCATGTAGAGTGCACTGCAGTAATCCAGATGAGAGCTGACCAGGGCATGAGTGACTGAACACAGGGCCTTAAGATTCAGAAAAGAACTTGTACACAACACAAAGTTGCACAAAGCCATTTCTAGCCACAATTACCACCCACTCTTTGAGGATTTGACACTGGGCATTGCTGAAGAACATAAAAAGTAGTAAAGAAGATTGCACAAGTACTTACTTTAAAATCTGCATCCCACATTTTCCAGTTTCTCCTCATTCGTTGTTTCATGCTTCCTCCTCCAAAACGCATATTGCCAGAGTAACCTCGCATACCCTGGAACATGTTGTAATCAGGGAATAGTTTGTGGGAAAAAAGTGATGGTGGTCTGTTGGGGCCATGACCCCGTCCTCCCATTGGTACTGGTGGGTCATTCCATTGTCCACCCATACGCCCATATGAAGGTGCCATGCCTCTGTTATTTCTTCCATCTCTGGCCCAATTTTGACCTCTGTGGCCAAAGTTGTCACGTGCCCTATTGTGGTACTGGTCCCTGCGGTTGCCATAGGAGCTGTCATAGTGACCTTCATAGGTATTGTCGGTTTCATGTTTAGCCTCACTGTAATCATAGCCAGATCTGTATGGATCACGGTCATTCATTGCAGACCTTGAATCATAGGGTTCATATGTATCATACCTACAAGAGTTGCAGAGCAAGGTGAGAATCTAGGTCATTAGTATACAGAGCACCATATTTAAGAATCTATAGTAGAAGCAGGTTATGTTAAAAATAAAAGCAAAAAAACAGAATTATTCTATATTCAGTAAAACCATAAAAAGCTGAAATCAGGAGGCTTACTCATTGTGCATTACAGTAGAAAATAAATACTGCAATTTTATACATATAAGGGCTGAATAAAAGAATAATACTCAAGTTTAATCTCAATAAATTTCATAATAATATTTATCTGATTAAATTTATAAATATGTTTCAGCTGGGAGAGTTATGCAAATAATTATATTTTATCTATTCCTGATTCATACACCAATTTCTATGCATATTTGACGATGTTAAACAAATGAAATCCCTGGGAATACTTTTACAAAATAAGTTTTTACCAATTTATTCGATGCTGTCAAGTAATTTTTGAAAGAACCACAAATCATTAGCTATATAAAACAATATATTTCATGTATGACACCTAGTCAGTAATCTCTTCATTGTTGAAAAAACTAGAAACAACATCTAAGAAAATATTGTAATCCTTTGTGCTTCTTATAATGAATGGCTAAGACAATCTAACTTGGATATTTTTTCAACTTGAAATGGCTTAGTTACCACTATTTCATGATAACATTCCAAAAGTTCCAAAGATTCAAGTTACGTTTATTAAATTGTAATAAAGTGGCTGCATAGTCATCCAAATGTGATTACATATTTGAAGCTAAACCACTTTTATTTCTGTAGCATGTTGTTTTGAGTGCTATGGAAAAGTAAAATTAATGCTGTGTAAATAAACCAGCACTGGACACAAGCACACAAATTGTGTTTGGTATCGAGGATCTGAAAGCAAGGATATGGAAAGGAAAGAATGGCTGAGGAGGAGACTTTAAAAGCTAACTCAGAATAGAAAAGAAGGCAAAGTGAATTGGATCATCGGCCAATCTTATAATATACCAAAGTACAGCATAGTATGGCTCACCACTGCAACTTTCTGCGGTGTTTTCTTGGAAATTTATTTCAAGTATTTAGCCACAGTTTACCATTAGCCCACTAAGGTCAAATAAAAATCCCCACTCTGTATGATAAAACTGAAATCTGGAAGATGCTGAGAAGGAAATTTCACTGATTTAAGTGTGCACAAAATTGCCGCTTTAGCCATTCTCAACTTGGAAAAGTTATTTTGTTAATGTAATGCTTAGGAATCCTTATAAACCTTTCTAAGCTTTATGTGTAGAAACCATTCCAGCCTGTAAGGAATGAGTCAAAACCAGAAACACTTATTGGAGTGTGGCATAGTTATCTGCAACAACTCTTTTTCTCAAGGCAAGAGACATTATTGGAATGAATAGAAAAAGTAACAATGTACCACAAAAATATATTTCATGCCATTTAAATTCTAAATGATTTTGTTAATTTCCCAAATATACTTTTATAGCAATGAAAAACTGCTGGGTGGAACAATACAGTCAACTATTCAGTAGCATTTTAAAACTAAAAATTATATTAAATGGCTCCACAAAACCAAAAGCTAGTTTGGAAAGCTAATGCTGTATTTATCAATATCTGTCACTTCAAAGAGAAGACAATACAAAATATGTCTAATTCAGTCACTATATTTCAACTACTCAGCTCTTATTCAACAAAGGAATATGTAATTAAGAATAAGTTGGAATATAGTAATCATTTGATTTAATGATATTTAAATATTTGTAGCTCCAGATATAAATAGTAGGTACATCCTATTTAGACCAATCTCTAGATCAGTGATGGGAAACCTATGACATGTCAAAACCACAACATTTTGGATGATGACAACTATTCTCTAAAATATGCCTTCTTATTGTGATTTTTGGAGGTTGCATGAAAATGGGGTGTGTTCTTATATGGCCTGTGGAGGTGGTGCAAGAGGTTTATGCTATTGCATGACCTCTGGAGACTCTGAAAATCACATGAAAATGGGCCGTGTTTTCAGATGCTGTAGAGGCCATGGAAGTGCCTTCTCTGAAGCCATTTCATGAATGAAGAACTTGTGCAACTTGGAGCTGCCTCAGATATCTTACAGGGGCCTATCAACAGAAAGAGAATACAGCTTGATGGCAATCGGTACATGGCACACCCTGGGGATCACACACAAAATTGGAGTTTTTTTTAATAAAAGAATGTATAAGTTGATTGTCTTGCTCCAAGGATGCTGTAATATGTTAGCAAAGTCAACTTAAGCGTTTTCCTAACTTTTGAAAAGGCAAGCCTAAAGGTTCACCACCACAGTTCTAGATATACATTTAAAATACAGAAGTACTGTCCAACTATTAATTCTAGTGTAAATTATCAAGTGTTTATGGAACATATATTTTAATTATTAAAATTCATATTTAAATACAAAGTACTTTATTTTAATCTATTTAAAGACTTTAATATGCAGGAATTTCAAAAGCAAAAATGTATATATTCCAAATGTATGGATTTGCTTTAAACTAACAATGTATACATTTACATTAATAATGACACATACTGTAGATTAAGGAGAGATTTTCTCGTTATATTTTTTTTTTAGTAAAACTGATGCAAAATCCAGAGAAACTCTGCCCAATGGATGTGCTATTTCAATGGGATGTAAAAGTGCAGTCTTTGGATAGGTCTCTGTTTTTTCAGAAACTGATCAAAGTACTCAAACCTACATTTATTTCCGAACATTTTATTACAATTCAGCTACCATATTTTCATCATTCAAAATCATATTTAAGCATCTTACTTATAAAGTTCAATTAAAAACTTAGCTAAGTGTGTACTTCCTGTAAGTTTTCTGTAGTAGTATGGAGCAACGTTTAGGCAGCAGCACAAGGTTAGATCAACATGCCTTCCAGAAGCAGAAACTAGCCTGTTCTATAACTATTACTGAACCTTTGTCTCTACACTCACCTGTCTCCACCTGAGCCATAATGTCCTCCTTGCATCGTTTCAGTGTCTAGATGAGATACCATATCTAAGCGCTGGTTAAAATTTGAAATTACATCATCAGCGCTGGTACCAGTGGATGCGTTAAAGTTCATGTCTGTATTTGAATTAGGCATTTCCCAAGAGTTTGAAGTGCCCATACCATACCCATAATTGCCAGAGTTATCCTGACCGTATCCATATCCATAATTATAATCTTCGTAACCTGAAATGAAAAAAGTTACTGAGTTTTCTTTTTAGATTTTTAGAATGCTAAAAGGCCTATCTAATACAAGATTGGCAGCACCAAGAATATCTCTTTTATGTTACAGTGGCTACATTTAGAAAAATAAATTTCTGTATCCACTTCCAATTCAACGTATAAAATTAAATCTTACTTCTATGACAGTAACATTTGATACATGTCCTGAGAAACATTCATTCTCATCATATCTAAAACTAAGTGTTGCTAAGTCTTCATCTACAATACCTCAATTCCATCTGTAGATCAATTTTAGGACAAAGCCTTACGATACCAAAACAGGTTGGGGGCCACTGCTATAGCTCATAGAGTATACCAAAATTCATTAAGAAGTTCAAAGATCAGTTACACCCAAGCAGCAATTTTACTGATTTACAGGGGATGGTGCAGTTATATAAATTTGGATTTAATCATAAATGAAAAGTCATTAAAAGATCACACATTGAATTAATAAAAATGTGACATTTTGGTATTTTTTTTCTGTTTAAATTAGTGATTGAGTTATCTATAAAACAAATGCTAGCATTCCATTAAAACTGTACTTACCTCTATTTGTTCCAGAATTCCAATTTCCATAACCTAAAAAGAAATTTCCAAATGAATATTTCTCAAAATGATTTTGTTTATATGTAAATTGATATGTAAATTGATAGTGCTCCATACTAAATGCCACATTGCAGTAAGCAGTAGTTTGCAACTCTTACTCTACAGTTTTAATCTCATTTATGGGTTTCTCTTTGCTAAAATCTTAAATTTGTGATTATTTCTCATATTCTGCAGTACAGTGTACAGTGAAATAGCACTGTACACCTCCCTTTCTAGATTTTACTGTAGAAATACAATGGTGTGATCTGTTGCTGAAAATTTAAAGCAATACACTAATAAATATTCTCAGATTAGAAAACAATGAAATTATGTTTTTTTAATAAATCAATCAATATTCTGAAAGTATAAGCAGAATTGCTTAGCATTCTCAAAGAGATTACTGGAAACAACATACATACATACATACATACATACATACATACATACATACATACATATATATCCTTAGATCTGTCCTTGCCTGAATACTGATAGTAATATATGGAAACTTTATCAAACTACCATAGTATTAATCTACAGTGTCACTGTATCCATTTCACAGCATACTGACAAAAAAAAATAAGTATCATTTTTGCATCATTTATACATTTATTACTTCCTGGTAATAGTTATTTAACAATAAAGAAGAAGCAAGATAATTATTTTAACGGGAGTACCACCTTTACTAAGATATACAAAAGCAGGTCACTAAATTATTGTCTGCCCACATGAGAATATTTAAATCTTATACCTTTATTCATAAACACATATTACCAGTTGTTGGTTATTTAAGAAAATACCTAAATACAATTTCTAAATATTCTTAACAAATCTATGCTATAGAAGTTGAGTAGCATCATTTCTGTAAACCCATAATCAATTAAGCTCCAATAATCCCCAGTAAATCATACCTATATATCCAGACTTAAAAAGGATAAAAACCTGATTACACAAATAAAATTTACAGCAATGGTGAAAAAACCCAAGCTATGCATTAAACTATCAAATTTGAATTTATATTAAGCTCATTTGAAGATAATTGTACAAAGGAATGAAGCTTCAAATACCGTATATAAATGTATTCATTTTAAATAAGAAAATAAAAAATATCTAATTGTGAGTACAGGGAGGGGTGGGACACTACGGGTTTGCCCAGGTTCGGGAGAACCCATAGCTAACGTTAATGGCCAGTTCAGAGAACCTCAAATCCCACCCCTGTCTGGCTCCTCTCACCCTGCCCTGTGAGGTAAGTGCAGGGCCTGTGTGGAGGCTCAGGGAGAGGGGAAAACGTGAGGTTCCAGAAGGCCGGAAATGGGCTTGTTCCAGAGCCCAGGGGAGGCAGTTTTCACCCTTCCAGAGGCTTGAGAAAAGCCTCCGGAGCCTGGGGAAAGCGAAAACACCCCCGCTGACGCCATGGTACAGAAGGACGACTAGGCCACGCCCAGCCAGCAAATGGGCAGAGAACCCATTGCTGAAATTTTTAAGCCCACCCCTGGGTACAGCTAATCCTCAACTTATGACCATAATTGGGATTGTGAATCCAGCTTTCCCAAGGGACATTTTTTGCCAGAAATCACATGATAATAAGACACTGCAGCTAGTTGCAAATGTGAGTTGGTTACCAATTGCTCCAATTGTGATCCTGTGATTACAGAGGTAGTACAATGATTTTAAGTGACTTTTTCTAAGACTGTCAAAACACTGAACCATCATTAAACAAACAGTCCTAAGTCAAGGACTATCTGTAATAAGTTGTATATTACCTAAATAACTAATTCTTAAGTACTATCCTAGAAGGGAAAAAAAATGTCTGAAAAGTATTTTTGTAATTAACTAAAGTGTATTACCAGAATAGCCCCATGTGCTCATTGTAGCAACAGCGCCCAACCTTTTTGGCACCAGGGACTGGTTTTGTGGATGATAATTTTTTCACAGATTGGGGGTGGGTGTGGTTCAGTTTCACTTGGTTGCTCATCCACCGCTTCATCTACAGCTGTGCGGATCTACAGCTGCCACAGACCAGTGCTGGTTCATCACCCAGGGGATTGGGGATGCTTATATTAAAACAAGTTGAATCTTAAGCTGCTATCCAGGCAATCAATGAAAAAAAATCAACATGCGATATGAGGGAGTATTAAAATGTATCATCTCATCCTGGTTCTTCTCTATTCCACATTGATATGACTGCCCAATACTGCAACAAACTTTTTTGTGCAAATTTTTTGCAATTTTATCTACAGACTACTGAAAATCTTGTGCCCGTTTGTTTTTAGCCTTCAATTGGGTTAAATTGTGCATCATAGTGCAAAAGTTTGGAATCAAAGAACTTCAAATGGGCTAACTTACAGAATGCATGCAAAATCTAGGACCAATGACTTACACTGAGTTGAAATGTGGTAAAGTTATAGCTGCTTCAGTACTACTGTGCTGCTATGGTCAGCTGTGGCCAAATGATCATCATTTTTAATGCTTCCCATAAGGAAAGTCAATGGGAAAGCTGGCAGGAAGCTGGATTTCTCAAACCAGAAGACCAGTAAATGGTGGCAGCTGCTGGAGATGAAAATGAGGGGTGCATGGGGCTCCAGAGAAGAAACAGTGCAACTAAGAGAGGAAATAAAAGGTGCACAGGAGATGCCACATGGATTCGGAAGGGTGCATAGGGGAGGTATTATGTGAGTCAGGGAGGTTCCGTAGGAGTATTGGGTATTCAACTAGAAGAATTAAATTGGAAAAGGGCTGGTCACATAGCAAGAACAACTGATGACAGGTGGACCAAGGCAGTCATAGAATGGATCCCACTTGATAAAAAGCATCCACGAAAGAGACCTAAAACAAGATGGATTGATCAGCATGTATTGCGGGCCCAATCGGAAAAGGAAAGTTCAGGACCATATAGGTTGAAAACATGTGGAAGAGACCATTGTCCTGCAATGGATAGACATTAGCTAAAATGATATTATGAAGAGATGCAATTTAGCTGATAACATAAAACCTCTACATGTCTGAATGAAGACAATTTTTAGCATCTAATGATAGCTAACTGACAAAGTATTTGTAGTGTGTTTCTCATGAAATTTTATCTGCATAATCACCCTAAATCCCAACAGTTTTACTTCAGTGCCTCATATTTAATGTTAAAAAATAAAATCTCATTTCAAATTAGCCATCCTATACATATGATTGAATTGCAGCTCATGGAAGCTTATGTGTTATAGTAAAATATGTAAGCCTTAAAAGCTACTATGAGTCTACCTCATTTGTAGGGAAAAAATCTTTACTTAAGAACAAAGTAGGGTAGTTAGAATTACACAAAGGTCATTCTACACTCCACTCCAATATCAAGGTTTTATTGAAGTATTTTAAATCAAAAGTGACACTAGAGTTTTAAAAATTACTTACATGGCTTGTTAACACACTTGGAGAAGTAACTTTATCACATCTAATGAACCAATTTGTTGAGCAATTATAAAGAGGATTAAGGATTCAGCCATACTCCTCTTTAGCACACATTTGGAGTGCTACTCCTCTTTAGCACACATTTGGAGCACAATTGCTAAAGATTATGTGCACAATCTGACAATGATCACTTTGGAAGAAATTGAGGCAGCATATTTACCTAAACATAACACAGACCTCACCAAGGTATTACAGAAAAAATGTTGCACCATATGTATGAAGATGCAGAAAATATCTAAAAAAACCATAAAGATTCCAAACCTTGCACCCAGCTTTGAAATAATAATAATAATAATAATAATAATAATAATAATAATAATAATCTAATATTTCTAATACATATAGTTCTCAACTTACGATTGAGCCCAAAAAATCTGTTGTTAAGTGAAGGTTAAGTGAATTCTGCCCTATTTACAACTTTTCTTGTCTCAGTTGTTAAGCAAATCACTGCAGTTGATAAGTGAGCAACCTGGTGGTTAAGTGAATATGGCTTCCCCATTGACTTTGCTTGTCAGATCACAAAATGTGATCACATGATCTTAGGACACACTGGATGGATGGTCATCAATATGAACCAGCTGCCAAGCCTCTGAATTTTGGTCATGTGATCATGGGTGATACTGGAAAGGTCATAACTCTGAAAAACAGTCGTACGTTTTCAGTGCCGCTGTAACTTTGAATGGTCACTAAACAAACTATTGTAAATTGAGGACTACCTGTACTGAAGGACGAGTAATGCAACAGGCCAAGCAAACCCATCTTTGTCCTATACCCATGATGGCGGACCTATGGCGTTGCCTTTGCCCTTCTTTTGCGGCTGTTTTTTGCCCTTCTTTTGAGGCCGTTTTGGCCAGCCCTATGGGCAAACTTCCCAAACTTCTGGTTTGCCCTTAGGGTCAGTTTTTCGCCCTCTGGAGGCTTCGGGGAAGCTTCTGAAACCTCCAGAGGGCCTTGTGGGGGCTGTTTTTACCCTCCCCAGGCTCCTAGAAAGTCTCTGGAGCCTGGGGAGGATGAAAAAATAGTGCCAAAAGCAGGGAGAGTGCTGGTCGCGCACGCATGCCTGCAGAGGGGGGAAGCGCATGCATGTGTGGCATGCCCGTGCACAACCCTCCTGCGCTCTCCCCCCTCCCCCCCCCGCTTTTGGCACAAGAGCCAAAAAAGGTTCGCTATCACTGTCCTATACTATAGTATTGCAACTGTGCATTGGTTGTTTGACAGACGGAACCCAAAAACAGATCCATACTGAGGGCTAAGAAGCAGAAAGCAACCCCAGCTTAGTATATGCATGTCTACCGGTCTATTTAAAAGGAGCCATTGCCGACATGGGTTCTGTGCATCTTCCTTCCTCCACCTATTCATTAATTTAATTTTAACTTTATTGTCATTGCACCTCGTACAACGAAATTAAATGCCATCTTCAGTGTACATTATGCATAAAAATAAAACAAAACAAAAACACATATCCTTCACATTCCATACAAAATTGTATTGAAAGCCCGTGTTTTCAACTATTACAACTACTCGCAAGGACAGGGCGGGAGAGGGGAGGTCTAGGCGTGCAGACGACAGCCTATATACCGAGGATGCCCAGCTTCCTTTCCCTCACGCCGGCGGGCGCAGAGGATCGATAACCGCTCTTCGTTTCTCGTGCCTTCCACAAATGGGGGGGGGGGGGGGAGGTTGAATCCCGGTGACTAGAATGAGGCGAGGTCCCTCACGACCCCTCCTCTCCAAATGGCCAAATCCCCCGCCTCCCCGCCCGTTTCACGGGAACGATGAACGAAAGGAGGCCGGGCAGAGGCTTCCGCTTCGACCACGGACAGTGGCGAGGAGCTCCAGTCAGCAATGCCTGAAAACGGGGTGGGGGTTGGGGGGTGGCAAGGCTCGTGTGACCGCACCCCCGGAATGTTGCCATGGGCTGGGCCTAGCCCTCCTCTCAGTCCCCTCCGCAGAGCCAAAGCCTCCCCCTCTGCTCGAGAGCCCTTCTTCTACCCACTCCCCTCACCTGAATAGCTCATGATGGCGGTGGCGGACCCGAGCGCTTCCCAACGCCGCTCCTTCCCACCCGTTACCTCCTGCGCCAGACGGCAACTGTAGCTGGCCTTAACCCCGCCTCCCGACGCTGTTCGCCCTGGTCCCTTTCCCCAGCTTCAGCCTTCCATTGGTGACTGTAACCCTCCGTCCCGCCCCTTTCCGGTTCTATTGGGCATGACGGGCGAATAGGGTCCAAAGCCCCTCAGCTCACTCGATAAGAGAAACGTCCGTCAGATCTACTGGGTGAGCGGTAGGTAAAGAGGGATGTCAGTTTTATCCCGTCAAGCAAATGATGTCCTGACCGAGGTTATTGGGTCTAACGAAACTCTAACGGGCGAATAAACGTCGGGGGCTAATTTGCGCCCGCTGCTCTCTAGACTGCAGGCGGGCAATGAATGGTCTTTCAATGGGAGGCACCCTGAATCCTTGCGTTGGCTGGGATGAGCGCGCCTTCTATCGGGAGCTGCCCATCGGAATGTAACCTGTGGTGCCGCCCACAACACGAGTACGCACCGTAAGGGGGTGCGGTGTCCTTTTGTGTGCGGCGAGCGAGCTCCTTTCCTTTGGCTCCTGGAAGAGCCTTTGAAATGCTGGGACGTCAGTTTCCCCCGAGTCGCTTCTAACCGATGCAGTGTGTATTCAGATGACGGGGGGCGGGAGGCGGGGGGCGGGGAGCAGCCATTAAGTGTATTGCAGACCGATCGGAGGAGGTCCGCGATGACAGCCGGCGGGGATTGCGATACTGTTAGCGAGCATCCAGCGGCGTGCTTTGTGTAGGCCGGACCCATCTTGATTGGTTACTTGTGGAAGTCGTTTGAGCCGCCCCCTCGAGCAGAACACCGGCGTAATAAACTCAGGGAGGACGTCGGTCGTTAGGAGTCGAAATTGATGGCACCTCATCAGTGCAAAACAGCAATAAATAGGCTGTTTGGTAAGGGAAAAAGTTTCCACTCAAGGTACTTCGGGAATCCTAGTTCTTATGTTGGATTAAATTGAAACCATTTGAGGCAGAGGTCCTCAAACTTGGCAACTTTAAGACTTGTGGACTTCAACTCCCAGAATTCTCCAGCCAGCATTGCTGGCTGGAGAATTCTGAGAGTTGAAGTCCACAAGTCTTAAAGTTGCCAAGTTTTGAAGACATGATTTGAGGGATCCTCACATAAGATTTATCCCGAGTTATATGCAAGTTGAGATTGACATTAAAACTTTTGAGTCAATTCCTGGTGACCTCGTGGACATAACCCACACATTGTTGTTTTCTTGGCAGTTATAGAACTGATTAGTCATTGCCTTCTAGGTCCAGTTTCAGGTTTGTTTTATTTCTTGTTCTACAGCACAGATCTGCAAATAGTACTTTGGAGCCAAAGAGTCTGCAAATTTGGTCTGCAAATTTTAGCCTGCTAGCTACAGTGAATATATAAAAGCATGGCTGCCTGACAAGAGAAAATAACTCTTGGCAGTGAGATAACAGCTACTACTTCCTTTTCATTAGATGGGACTCTGCAATAGTCTATTGCAATGCAGCATCGTCCTCTAATAATGAAACATCCCTTGAAAGAGTCCAGCTAACAATCTTGCTAAATCTGAGTCAGACTGTAAAGCAGGGGCTTTGAAGTATGAGCTGATAGCCTTCAAATATTGGGTGCTTTTTAAGTCTCTGGCATTGCTTCCTATTGAGGCCCTATGTTTTCAAGTACTGCTACAGAATGACAATGAAACAAAACCCGTGGAACTGTATGCAGGTGGGAGCATCTAGTGGGCCATAGCTGGGCTCAGATAGTTTTTATCCAATTATATTACCTGTCCCAGGATTGCAGTGTAGCACCCATCAAACACACAAAAATTGTTACTTCACTAACACGTCTTTGGAGGAGGCAGACAACCAGGAGCCAGGACAGGGTAAGAACTAAACAACTGGACCCTGTTGCTTGTCGGTGCAATTGGATGTCCAAGAACTTTGGCTGCTGTTATCCTTGTTCAAATATCTAAAGACCTGTTTATGGGTTTTCTATTGACTGTTTTGTCCCTCAGGAGGTGCTCCATTCTCCTTGAATGTCAGACTCAAGCCATTAAAAATTAGTGTTTAACCACTTAAGGAGCATGGCTTCTCTCTAGTCCAGACATGAAGCAGTGTACAGACTTGGTTGTTCCACTTTTAGGTGCCATTTCTTTTATTACTAAAGGCAATCACTTATCAGGCTGCTAAAGGGTGTAGACTGCTGAAGAACCTTGTATTGTTCTTAGGTGCGTTCTTAGGTGTAACAATACAATACCACTGCGAGGTGGCGCAGTGGTTAAATGCAGCACTGCAGGCTACTGCTAGATCAGCAGTTCAGCGGTTCAAATCTCACCGGCTCAGGGTTGACTCAGC